TGGAGAGAAAAAAAGAGATGAAGAAGAGGAGGAGGAACACGAAGAGGAGGCGAAGGCAGTGATTGAGGAAGAGAAAGAAGACGAACTTGACGAAGAGACAGTGGAAGAGGAGGACAGGGGGGAGCAGGAGGAGGAGACAGAAGATGCCTGGGGGAGGAGCAGAAAAGAAGGCGCAGGAGGTGGAGAGAAAAAAAGAGATGAAGAAGAGGAGGAGGAACACGAAGAGGAGGCGAAGGCAGTGATTGAGGAAGAGAAAGAAGACAAACTTGACGAAGAGACAGTGGAAGAGGAGGAGGACAGGGGCGAGCAGGAGGAGGAGACAGAAGATGCCTGGGGGAGGAGCAGAAGAGAAGGCGCAGGAGGAAGAAGACGACGAACAGGAGGAAGAGGTATACATGCATGAGAGGGGCGGAGCAGGAAAGCTCGTTGGAGGAGGGGAGAACAAAAAAAGAAACAGGATGATGAAGGACGGGCGGAAGAGAAGGGGAGTGAAAGACAGATGAGGAAGTCGAGGAAGGGGAGGAGGAAGAGGAGAGGGAAAGAAAAGACCAAGAAGAGGAGGAGAAAGAAGACGAAGAGACAGAGAGAGGAGGAGGAGGAGGAGGAGGACGTGTTCTTGGAAGAGGAGGAGGAGGAGGATGGGGGGGATTTCATCGTTGGATAACGACCATCTGATTGTTTTCTTCCAGTCGGTCTTCATTTCTGAAGCCAATCTGAAAGCTCCCATCGCTCTCACTAACGCACTGAATGATGAATCAGAGGCTCGAATGAGGACAGTGAGGTCATCTGCAAAGATCATTACTGTCGGAAAATGCAGGTGATGGGGTGTACCTACATTGACCTCTGGTATGGATCAAGGGGTCTTTACATAGGAATGAGGCTATTGCCTCCATCACAAAGAGAAATTGGAGGAGCTAGCGGGTCCCTTGTCGGACTGAGCATGAAATTGGATAGCAGTCTGAAAGCAGGCCGTTGACCTGAACACAGCCTATCACATCATCGTACTGGATTGAAACCCATTTTCTAAAGTTGGGGCCAACCCCCATTTTTCCCATGCTCACGTTGAGAAAGGCCCAGTTGACCTGATCATAGGCTTTTTCAAGGTCGAAGAAGAGGATTGCTGTGTTAGTACTCTTTGCTCTGACTTTTTTGGCTGCTTCATTGAGAGTCAATACGGTGTCAAGAATATACATACCTGGGATTAAACCTATTTGGTCTATATGAAAGCATTTGTCCATCAGATCTAAGATCCGGAAGGCCAAGGCTTTGGCTAGGATCTTGTAGGGGAGGGTGAGTAGAGAGATAGGCCTATAATTCCTGATATCTTCCTTGTCCCGTTTCTTGTATAGCAGTGTGACCACGTTGCTACTCATCAAGTTCCGTAAGCCACCCTTGAGCCAGCTGTCATTATAGAAGTTCAGTAGGTCGTCTATCTGCTTTTGTTGCAGCACAACTATCTTGACGTTTATGTACGGGCAAAGTGTTTTGACTCTTGAGCAAATTGTGGCTATGTTTGTTGAAGCGGAATTACCTTGACATTCATGTATGGGAAAACTTGTGTTTTGGAAACAATTGTGGCTCTCTCTGTTGCAGCGCAATTACCTTGATGTCTATGTGTGGGAGAACTGGGGGACAAGCAACATCCCAGCGTTGGAGCAGGGACAACAGGTACACAGTGCAGCTGTACACCATTTGGCATTTTCCTCAATTTAATGTCATTTCTTCCCTCTGCTAGTCTTTCCCATTTGGCTAGTCTTGCGCATCACCAATCAGCTATATGACGTAGTGGACCGGTCCCCTTTATTGTCTTTTTTTGTTTTTCCTAGAATGGGTTTAATGAACCCAAAACCGAGGAGCTGACAACATTCATACCATGCATGTAGACTATGCTCTATGGTTTACAATCACCAGGAGATAGCAAGTGAACCAGAGACAAAGGTGCAGAAGAAGAAGAGGTGGAGGATGGTTTTGAATAGTCAATGAATGCAATGTCTTGTCTCGGCTTCCCCCTTCTACCTCCAGGCCTCCTCCACAATTCTTGCCAATGGACGATTGTCATTCTATCCCTCTACTGATAATGTAGTCGGTATGTCTCTTACGAACACCTCGCCAATACACAAAGTCACTGCAATTCAGAATCAATCAGTTGCAATGAAGAATAACACCTGTCCAAGCAATAATGCTGGCCTTTCGGAGCAAAGCTCTATCCCTTCCTCCCTCCCTCCCTCTCTCTCTCTCTCTCTCTCTCTCTCTCTCTCTCTCTCTCTCTCTCTCTCTCTCTCTCTCTCT